ATTATGCTTTGCACCTATTATATTATATAGTATGTGCAGTACTATATTTATTGTGTATTAAAATATGATGATAAACAGTTAACATATTATTAAACAGTTATATTGTGTATATTATTTAGTTGTACAAATCATACACAACAAAATTGATTAGAATATAAATATAATTAAATATTATGGGTTAATTCTCGTGAACTATTTGTATAAACAAGAAAATTAATAGAATCATCAAGGACATTCCCTAGCTCAATTTAATACGTTTGAAAAAATTTGCAATGAAAATAATAAAATATTTGGTAAATAATATTATATAGCCTAAACATGTTCTTCTAAAAAAATTTATAATGTAAATTTGATATTAAAATGATAAATCAACTATTGTTAAACTMGGTCTCATCTAACGTTTATTCTTATTTTATTTCTCAACAATTCGGGATGTTTTTATATAATTCTAATTTAACACATTGATATTTAACTTTAGAAATTATATTTAAAAAAATATGTACAGTAACAATTTCTTTATTATTTTATAAGTGTTCTTAAAAACTATAAGAACCGTATAATTTTAATATTTTGAATTGCTATTATTTTTTCCACCATAATGTTTGTAGGTACTACTGTCAACTGGATATTTATCCGTATTTTTAAATTGAAAACGATTTTGTTTTTTAATTTCAAAACTTGAAACTGAATACTGTTCTAAATATTTTGATGAAGAACTATAGAATATTAAATGAATAAGAGGATACCTAATACCTATAGAATATAGAATAACATTTTATTAATAAATATTTTAAATTAAAAGTAGAGGGTAGAGTATACCAAAAACTTCATCCAGATGGAATGTCATTAGATATTTTTCATCAGATATACTAAAATAAATATGCCAAAATGAGCTATATATATATATATATATTAAATAATTTAATTATGATTATTATATTATTAAGATCATTAACTTTATATGGCAAAAGGAAGTGATACTGAAGGAATGTAAGACGGCGCTGGTGTGCCTCATTCATAAGAAAGGAAACAGGTAGCTATGTAATAATTACCAAGTAATAGCCCCGCTTAATATTGCCAACAAAATGTTGAGTTAATGTCTGCTGGATAGAATTATCCATGGGTGGAGGAGATCTTAGGGAATTACTAGGCTGAATTCAGAAAAAACCGTTTCACCATTGATCAAATATTCATGACAACTATTACAGAAAATGTGGGAATACGACAGATGTGTCCATATGCTATTTGTTAATTTCAGAAAAGCTTATAACTCAACAAATTGGCGGGAATCCGTGATTAATGTCCTAAAAGAAATTGAAATGATCCAGAAGCTAATAAACCTTATCAAATGTTCATCGAACCAACAGACATAAAGGTTAAAGTTGAACACTCCACTTAAAATGTAGTACAAGTAACAACGGGGTTGAGACAAGGTGATACCTTGTCTCCCATTTTATTCAATATAGCCTAGAGGAAGTAGTAAGTGAAATAGGAAGTTGTGGAAGTTGTTAGGATAGGAGAAGCTAATATTGGACTTTTAGCATACATGAACAAGATAGTCCTGCTGGTGGAAAATAAAGAACAATTCAAATAGTGATCGAAAACACTGATAGAAAATGCAAAACATAAAGTGTTAGAGATTAACACAGAAAAAACGGAGTGGTCCAAAGGAAAGTACATTTAAATAATCAAAATAGTGAGTTGGATGTTGAAGGCCATAAGTTTAAAATAATACAACAGTTCAAATAGGTACCTAGGTGCCATGTTAACACAACATAATTAAATAAATAGTGAAATAAAGGCAACAATTCGAGCCGGTAATAAGTTTTACTTTGGGCTGACAAAGTTACTACAATCTAGAACACTTCAACAAATTTGAAGATTCAGATATATTTGACATTAATAAAACCCGTAGTAACTTATGGGTTGGAAACATGAATGTTACGGAAGAAAAACGAAAATTAATTAGTTTTTCAAAAGAAAATTACTTTGGAAATTATAATATGGTCCATGTAAAGACGTCAATACAGAATTTTATCCACCTTTTATGACAAAATATTCACGTTGCAAACCGTACAAGGATGAGTACCTACGGAATGGACAGTGGGTTGTAATAATTCATACACTTTGAACCAATGAATCTAAATAACATCAAGACAGTATAAAAGATACATCGTGGAGAGTCTACTAATGACAATATATAAATTGTGTAACGAGTGAACGTACATGATATTGAATTAAATGGCAAAACGTAAATATAAACCTCCTACCTATCACTGTTTATTAAGTAAAACATATGGATGTTTTTTTTTTTTATTATTATCATTTAAGTATTTACCATCTTCCACAATTCAAGTTATTAGCTATCAATTTTTTATTGCATTTAATATTAAAATTTGTATGATTACTGTTGATTGAACATGATTTTGTTAGTCAGATTGAATTTCGAGATGAGCTTGATGATTTTTTTAATGTTTTTTATTCATTGAGAATGATGTGCAAGAGTGTTGTTTAATTTGTTACCAGAAGACATTGTGCATGTTGATTTGTATATGAGGCATTATGTTTATGTGTTTGATTCTTATTCTGGTAATAGAAATGTATTGACGTCAATTGAGGTCCACAGGTATATACCATTGTTTAACTAAACTTTTGATGGATTTAAGTTTATTGGTAAATAGTTCGGTGTCTCAGTAATTTTGCGGTAAAAATATAGTCGTTTTACACTTAATTTGTGATAACACCGTCTGAGTGGCATGTAAGTAATAATAAATACAATTACAGTACTAATAAAGTATATGATATTTTTTAATTGTTTATAGTACGTTGTATAATAAAAACCTATATGAAATAAATAGTACCTAGTATTAATATACTAGTATCTTGGAAACTAATTATTTTGTTACTAAAATAACGATATGAGAAAAAGATATCGTAGTTAATGAGAAAATGTATATTTAATAATCTCTTACTAATCAATGTGTAGCAATTAATATGACACGTTGATAAGCTAAAATAATTGCTTCAAGTCAATTACGATGACCACGTTGTAGTGAATTATACGTGATACTATCAAATACCAAGTTGCCAATGGTATAGACTTACACTCAGTGACTAAATATTCTTCATGCTATTTTTTTTTTTTTTTTTTCCCAAATTTTTTTTCTATTTTTTGTTAATAAACAAAAGCCTCTTGTTTTTGTTTACCACCATACCCAACATTTCCGAACAATAATATATTATAGTGCGTAAACGCAGTGCTGCTTATTTAAACCCAACGGACCGATTTGATCAATGTAAACATGTGGTTAATTTATAATTATATAAAGTTATTTGCAATGCCAGGTGAATAATTAATTGATGAGCAGATAGGTCAATGTTTTTAATCGATCCAAAAAAGGACTAAAAACAGCATGTATATTATGTACAAAGGTTTAAGGGAGTAAATTAAAATATTATGTGTAAGTACCTACTTAAGTACATTAAAACCCGGCAAAATAAAGCAACGTTCACATTTTAACAGTTTGCATACTCCCGTTGCATGTTATCTGTAGTAGATAAACTTATTATAAATTGTTAACTGGTAAAATGTTTTTTTATGAAAAACATACGCCTATATAGTTCTAAAATAATATTAATAATATATATGAACTACAATTTATATGCACAACATCCGAGTTCTACTTTGTTAGTTGGATAATATCCCGTTATCGTTTAACTTAAAGCCATCGTCATGCCTGATGTTTAACTATAAATATTTTCAAGATCACTACTTCATCATATCAATCAATAAACTAAATTTAGAAATAAAAATGTTTACACAGTTTGTGCTCTATTGGTATACATTTTTTTTTTTAATTTTACGCACAACAGACATACGATACATCTTAAATAGTTTATGAATTAGTTTATACATGTTTATATAAGTTAAGTATGTATTCTATAATATTATATTTGAAAATATTTTATTACGATGTTTATTCGATTTTGATTTTTTTCGTATTATGTTTCTGTATAAATAGTTCGTATAGGTAGTTACGTTTTTTGTAGGTTACCTGTCCGTTATTTTATTTTTCATTTCCATTTGAGAGATTTGTATATGATTAGAAGGATACCTATTTTTATTTTCTGTTCTTATTGGAAATATTCAGTTAATAAAATAATCTTAAATTAATAATAGGATTCGCATGTTGGATATATTTGTGGTTATGCACGCTCGTACTTTAGCTTTGAAGTTATCACGGCAACCAATGATTTTTATGAAATTCTGTATTTGTGATCTTTCTACCATTTACCAATAAAATTTTGTTGTAAAATTAATTTGATACTAAGATATATATCTGATTATCTGATAAATTTCCATTCGTTAAGTATCTATTTTTTATTTATGATGTGCTCATATCATAATTCATATTTATTCGAGGTTTATGGTGCATTTTGATTTATGCGTTACAGTTAACCATATATTATAATAATATATTCATTCGACGAATATTATACCTATTATTTAATGGTTATAATACAAATATATGCATAAAAAATTATTTAAATGTTGAGAAATTTGAATATACAATATAAAAAATATCATTGTTAAATTAGATATTCAATAAACAAGAAGAGCTCTAGTGAAATAATTCTTAAGAGAAATGTAAAGTTTTTATATTTTTCCATTCATTTACAAAGGTTCATATTAATTTATACACATTATGTTTGAATCTGAATTCACGATGAAGTTTGCTCTGTATGTAAATTGATCCGAAGAAATATTACTTACATAATATAGACAATAATTTGTATGTCTCTGTTGTAAATTATTTGATAGAACTCCGAAGTTAAATTTGGCAATTTGTGGGTTTTCTGATTGACATATCGTATCTACTGCACTTACTGTACACGAAAAAGCGCCTAATCGTTTTAAGGCTTATGGTGCATGGATAGAAATAGAAAAATGGTTAAAACTAAATAAAACAATAGATGTAGAGCACCAGCGAATTACAAACATGGAAACTGATTATCGGGTACAAGTTTTGGACCGTTTGTTATCAGTAACTTTATATTTATCTAAGAATAATCTAGCGTTTCAAGGAAGTCCAGATAAATTTTATACTCAAAGTAATGGAAATTATTTAAGTTTAGTTGAACTTTTGGGTAAATATGACGATGTAACTAAAGAATTATTACTTAAAACACTGTCTCGAGAAAAAAACCGTACATTATTGCAGTCATTCTATTCAAAATGAATTAATTAATCTCATGGCCAATAAAGTTTTAGAAACAATAATAGATAGATTACGTGCAGCAAAATATTATTCTGTAATTCTTGACTGTACACCATAGGTGAGTCATCAAGAACAACTATACTTTACACTAAGATTTGTTAATATAAAAAAAAAAATTTGAAGATAAAGAACATTTCATTGGGTTTAAAACGGTAGAAAGCTCTACAGGTTTGAGTTTAACAGACCTCTTCTGAAAACTCTTGCAGAAAAGAATATTCCTTTTCAAGATTGTCGTGGGCAGAGATATGATAATGGTGCTAAAATGAAAGGGCAAAAAAAAGGAGTTCAAGCGAGAGTTTTATCAATGAATTCTCGTGCCACCTTTCTTCCATGCAATTTCCATTCTTTAAATTTAGTTGTATCAGATGCTGCATCTCGTTCTATAAATTCAATTACAGTTTTTGGCGTACTCCAAAGAATTTACGTTTTGTTTTCATCATCGGTAAAACGATGGAAAATTTTAACTGACAATATAAAAGGGCTGGACCGTGAAACCTCTGAATGACACAAGATGGGAAAGTAGAATMAACAGCGTAAAAGTTGTTCGCTTTCAAACTGAACAAATTTACAATGATTACAGATTTAAACTATCTGAAGTTGAAAACATAGATGCTGGRACGCGCCATGAAGCTATTTCAMTTGCTGATCAACTTACAGATTTTAAGTTTCTAATATCATTAGTTGTTTGGTCAGTAAAAGTATGCAAGCAAAAGCAATGGACTTAATAAATGGTTCTAATATGTTAAAAAGTGCTTTA